TCTACACCAAGACCATTTCTTTTTGTCTTTTTCTCTCTCTCTCTCTCTCTCTCTCTCTCTCTCTCTCTCTCTCTCTCTCTCTCTCTCTCTCTCTCTCTCTCTCTCTCGTTTCATTTTCATCTACCTCTCTTTCTTTTCTTCTCCCACTCATGTTTCTTTTGTCATTCTCTACTCGTGTCTCCTGTTTTATAAACACTTATTTTACATTCGCATCCTTTGGCAACTTTAAAATAGTCACTTAATGTGGAGACGGCAAATTAATATCAATTATTTCGCATCCCAAAAAGAATACTAGCTGATAGAAAATGTACATACTATCATAACAAAATAGCATATTTAAAACAATAATCAATCAATTTAAAATGTAGCTACATGAATGTTTAAAAAATGCGAAGCGTGATAATGAATAATAATGAAATAAACCTATCTTCATAAACGGACGGAACAAACCACCAGAAACATAATTTATAATACTACAATTGCGTTAGACAACCCTGACAGGATACGTTTTCTGCAGCATAGACTCGTTCGGGGCAGGCAGAGAGGTAGTGATGAGCATGGAGAAGCCTTCCACGTTGTAGTTATACATGTTCTGGTAGTCACTGCCGTCTACTTCCTCCTTGAACAATTTGATGTATCTGGAGGGAAGAGAAACACGATTTGTCGACCAGATTCATACACCAATTTTTTTTTTCTAAAAGTATAGTGTCATTATTGTTAACATATACTAATTATATCACCATACGTATTTTCAGGGTTAGCATTATAATTTCTTCTTCTTCTTCTTCTTCTTCTTCTTCTTCTTCTTCTTCTTCTTCTTCTTCTTCTTCCACCATGCTGCCTCACAAATGTGTTATGACGCTGTGGAATCAGGCGCTCGTCAAATTTTGGGTATATGGAGATATGGATACCATCTTAAAAGCTTGTTCTTTAATCTTGCTTTCAATGAAAAATTACCCATCTTTCTGGAATAGAAGTCGAGATAGTTATCATTGAAGGAGGTGGGGTTGCCCTATTGCTGAAGTAGAATTAGCGAGAAAATGGCCGCCAAAATTAGGTGAATTCCAAAGGATGAGTCTTTGAAAATGGTTAACGTTTACCAGTTAAATCCACACTGAAAGGTGTTTTAAATGGACCTGATAGTTGTTGAGCCAAAAATAAAAAGTTCAATAAAAAAAAACCAACAACAACATTTGCCATATCAAAGGAGAATGCCGATAACTTCGATAGCTTAATTTTGACGAGCGCCTATTGTCACCACACTGCTTCACAAACAAGTTTTTCTTGGTCTACCTCTGCCTCTTTTGCCTGTTATCGTCACAGTGAGCTCCTGATTCTGAAGGCGCATCTTCTGTCGATTCAAGCGCCTAAAGATCAGCGTTTTTCGCTTCCTACTTGTATTAATAAGTGAAGGTCTGAGTCCAACGCGAGATATTAAATGAATTTTCCAATGCCGTTAATATATCATGCTCATCAACGTGGGTAGTGTCGCCCACGTGGGGACGATTTTGTAATCTAGGTGGGTGGTGAAGGTCGCTCAGGTAAGGCGGGAAGGTGTTATTCAGTTCTCTGCAGGGAAATACGTGTGGGCGGGTAGTACTGAAATTATATGTTAACCTCCTCCCAAAAGCGGCAAAAGCGATCTCAAGCTCTGTTGGAAATAATAATATGGTTGATAATACGCACTGTCGTTTAATATAAAATGTGTGACGTCGCTGTGAAAACGGTGAAATGGTATGTGTTTTAATGCCCCCCATCAACACTATAATTAGGTTATTTAAGAGGCAGGCCTTCAACTTTAACGTCCATTTCCGAAAGGACCAAGCCAAACGGAAAATTCGCTTGAAGTGCCTTTCCCGAAGACAAAACTTCGAACCGAGCTGAGGCTAGAACCCCCGAACCCGCAATTTTAATATTACCGGTCTGTTAGCCAAACTTTAAGGCCACCGACGCCACCAGGCGCTTGTCAAAGTAATTACATCAAAGAAACTGGCAGTTTTCTGATTGTTTTGGCAATTTTTATTGATTGATTTATTTTTCATTCATGCATTTCTTATTCATGTGTTTTTTAAATTCATTTCTCATTTGTTTATTTATTTATTTATTTATTTATTTATTTATTTATTTATTTATTTATTTATTTATTTATTTATTTGGCTCAGCTCCATTTATACCCAATTTGAAACAAATTCCGGTGTTGATTTTTTTTTTAAAGTTGCTCAAAAGAAAATCAAATCTGTGCTTGCAGATTCCAAGGACTCTAACGCTTTGGAAGTCACCAAACTTGGGCGGCCATTTTCTTCTCATTTTTAGCTCTCACACCATCGACCCCCTCATCTTTTACAAAGGAGCTATCTCAACTTCTGTTCAAAACAGATGGGTGCTCCTCCCATCAAAATCACGACAAATCGCTACCTTAGAATTGCAAAGTTCTGTCTGCCATATTTGCCCGTTTTGAGTTACTAAGATAATGAGATTTAAAAAAAAAACAACTAAAAGTTCTATCTGTTCTCTAAAAATCGTAAGATTATCTGTAGCCGTTATAAAGATATTCAAAGAGTTGCATTCGAAAAAGCTTGCCACGTTGTGAAGCTAAAACAAATTGACGTACAATTTCAAAAAAACTAAGCACTCAGCAAATATTGAGCCTTGGAGTTCAAAGGTAGTGAAAGGTCCAGGTTTAATGACGATACCAAGAACTTTATAATAATCCCAAAAGTTAACAAGCATCTGATTCCAATGCATCACGACACAAAAAATGAAATGTTTGAGAGATCAAATACCTTTTTCCAGGCATGACGACTTTTCAGAATTGGAATAGTTCTGGTTCCTTGATGGACGACCTACAGATGTGGATACATCACGTTTCCTGGACCCATATGGTTCCTCTAGAGCTGGTCAGAGGTAAATTGAGGGCAAATTAATGGTACATTATTGGTAAATTGTTTGAAACTTGATATAACATTGATGGTAAATTAATGATGAACTATTGGTATATTGATAGTACATTGATTGTAAATTAATGATGAATTATTGGTATATTGATAGTACAGTGATGGTACATTAATGATGAGTTATTGGTAAGTTGTTGGTACTTTGATGGTACATTGTTGGCAAATTGATGGTGAAGTGAAGTTGAATTGATTGTCAACTGAGATAATTTGATTATTTGTTAAATTTAATAGTATTAAGCTAATTGTAAAACTGTTTAAATGTATGGTAAATTTACAATGGACTGATGGTCAAATCATAGTAGGTAATAGCAGAAAACAAATAAATTTTCACAGTATTTCATCAGTTATTTCGTAGCCAAGATAATTAGTTATCATTTAATAGTAAACGATAGTAAATCTGCTTTGTGCAGTCAACCCTTTTTACGCTGTGAATGCTGGAAAACCACCAACAACAATGTCGATAGAATAGTAGCATCAGAAATAATATGGTTTCTTGTGAGATCGAAAATTTCTTGGAAGAAAAAGAAATCAAATGAGGCACTACTTGAAAAAAACCCTGGTGGGCTGCACTTTGATTGAAAACAATCAGGAAAAGACGAATGCGGTTTTGGGGACACTTGAATAGACATTAAGGGCCTTGAAAATCTAGCACTTATTGGCATAATAAGGCGCAAAGAAGGCTGGGATAGACCCAGAGAAACCAACTTGGAGACCTTATACAGGCTGGTAGCGAGAAAAGATCAGGATAGTGTAGTGGGTTTTTTAATATTTTAATTAGAGCATCCAAGCAAAAGGCTGGATGGAGAATTATGATCACCGATGCCTGTCGTAGATCTGACACTTGATGATAATGATAGGTAATCTTTCAACCTCTGCCTATCCACTTTAGATCACTTATTTGGTAAGCCGATTGTAAATCGTTTTATAGATAGATAGATAGATAGATAGATAGAAAGATAGATAGATAGATAGATAGATAGATAGATAGATAGATAGATAGATAGATAGATAGATAGATAGATAGATAGATCACTTACAGGGCTATTGGTTAATCCTGCTATTCTGGGATAATCCCAATTGAATAGTGTAAGCATCCGAAGACAAAGACGGAGAGCTGGATAACGTAGGTGACCCCAAAAGGGAAAGGAACTCAAGTCTGCCGCATGTGACGACTGTAGAATTTACCGATTACACCATAAATGCCCGTCTATTGTCAAAGAGTGCCCAGCCCCCCTCCTCCCTCCCCCACACACGCACTTTTTCCCTCGTGCATTATATAAATGTAATGTTGTTCATCATTGACAAAGTGACCTAACCCACTTCTAGAACGGATACAAAACTCATCAAAGACTAGGCACACAATCAGATATGCGCGTTTACGTGCTAGTGACAGCAGAATTTGGACTTTAACAGTGGAAAAACAAACATAGAAAACCCCAGAATACGTGACTTGTAGAAACAATGCATTCTTGCAACATCAAAAAGAAAAGAATGTTATCTGGTCCCGTCGACCGACGTGATTCTAGAGATAGGACGCCTCCAAGTACTGTTTTTGCCTGGCTGCGTGCGAAGAAGCATAAATTAACTTTTTAAACACGCAGCGGACACATAATCGTATTTCAGATCATCAGCAGACCAAAGGCTATTTTACGGCACAATTCAAAATTATCATTCATAAATCAGAAAGATGAATTTGCTTCTTTCTTAGTGTGTTTATTGTTTCCGGCCATTTAAAGTGTTTGATTTACAAACAAACAAACAAACAAACAAACAAACAAACAAACAAACAAACAAACAAACAAACAAACCACGCCAAACCAGCCGTAAAAAC